ATGCTAGGGATTAAGTAGTCGATTTTTTTTATATAGGTACATTAAAATAAAATGAATTACATGTAGCAATGAAAACCATAGATATATAATACTAGCTGACCCGGCAAACGTTGTTTTGCCATATACGTAATTTCAAAAAAAAATGTAACTATAAATAAATTAGGTGTATGAAAAATAGATATTGGCCGATTCTCAGACCTGCTCGATATGCAGACAAAAACGCACACCGTGACATGAGAATTTTATATATTAGATTTTTTTAAATATTTTAACAGTAATGATGCTTATAAATGGATAGTACCTATTATAATAATAATCATATTTGTTTCGGAGTTTGGGTGTTTTCTATATATAATATGTAGTGATTAGATATGTATTTACAAAAAAGTATGTAAGTGTTCTATCAGTCAATCTAGTTTTCATAGTATGTACTAGCTCTGTTGCTAAAAGGAACAGAGCTTGTACTATGAAAACTACGTCGGTGGCGCAGTGGTAGTTAATGCGACTGCTGTGCTGAGGTCTTGGGTTCGATTCCCGAGTCAGACCAAATGTTTGTATGATCTACAAATATTTGTTTGGGTGTTCTCTACGTACTTTATAATATGTATGTATTTACAAAAAGTATACAAGTATTCTATCAGTCAATCTAGATTTCATAGTACAAGCTTTACTTAGTTTGGAACTAGATGGCGTTATTATTTAAAGAAATGTGATCAAATAGATATAAAAAAAAACACTAAAACTCACAGGTACAAAAAATTGTAATAATAAGCTATTACTGAACAAATAGTTCTTTTCAAAACAATTAGATTTATATTAATGTAGAAATAAGTAATTATGAAGAAAGTAATAAACAGAGCGGACTCCTTTTTTTTATCTTACATTGTCATCACCTGTGTAATACCCGGGTAATACCCTGTAATGAATGTATCTTAACACTATGTTTGAAAATATAGTTAAGTATATAATTAAGTCTCAAGTAATTGATATTATCAACAACTCTTCAAAATGAGTTTATTGACCCGCAAAACGAAGAAATTTGTTAAAATGTTTTCTTTAACATCAGGATCTTTCGGTAATCTAGAAATTAATTATAATTATGTAATAATAATTAATAATTCAATTCAATTATTCATGCTTCTTAAAAATATAAAATTTTATTTACATTTATAGACTTTAATACGCAAACTTAAACAAATAATTAAATTCCTAAAGAAATTATTGTATACTTTATTTTAAGAATATTTTACTTGCATATATCGTTTAGTTTATTTACGTTCAAGTATCCTTTTATATCTTTTGATGTTAGCATCGATATAAACTGTACTTTTATTCAAATGAATGGAACGGTTACATCAATAACTGGTGAGCGATGCCTGCAGCCGTATTATAAAAATATGCAACGAACAACTAAAACTAATGTTTTCGTGGCGTGTCCAATCACAGGACTTACATATGGGTACGCCACTCCGGTTTCTTCGAGCTATTGCCGTCAGTCAGTCCCACGTTACTATCCTAGGCCTTCGATTTCTTTGTTCCTGCCTCCATCATACTAACCGTTTTCCTTACCCGTTCACCTTCCTAATTCTACCTTCTCCTGCGTTTCCCTCTTTTGAAAACAATTATATTTCCGTGATTTCGCGTCTGGCACCAGCCATATCTCTTTGCAAAGTTGTAGATTGCACCGAACCCAAATAAAATCTTAAAAAGGGTGGGAAATATGATGATACATGTATTGTAACTATAGATTTTACTGCGGGTTTTGACAATATCTTTTTCCTCAAACAATCCTGTCTCTCGATGTATACATAAATTATTTTTGCCTACAACCTAATCATCGCCCATTAATCCGCCTCTCTGGTCCAGCAACACGCACCGAACATCGCGATATGTCTTATGGATATCAAAAGATGTCTTATGTAGATAAGTAGGGTCTTGTCATAGAGCGTATCGTCATATTTCATTTCATAAACAAAATTCTAGTATTTGGTTATACGCATTTTCTATGTGATAAAATATAGTATTACGTTTGCGTTTCTAAGTGCTACTTATAAATAACGGAATTCTAAAATCAGGTAGAAATTATGATGGTGGCAATTTATGTTCAAGATATCTACAAATGTAGAGAGGATCATCAGATTAATCTTATCAAAGCATTGTGTTGATTGCCGTTTTGCCATTTGCCACACAGTCGCCACGATTTACTGAATCCACATTCGAGAACGTACTCATGGGCATCTGATGTAAACCTTGCTTTATGCTTATGTTCATATACATATATAAATACTTTAGATTTCGTTATTGACGGTAATATTAATAAAACTTTTGAAAGTGGTCGAAAGCCCCCCTCACTCCCTCAGCATCACAGCACTTGACCATCTCAGTTATTGTTTCGATGTTGGCTTCGACTGGAACTGGATCTATTTCGGGCACGACGAATTATATTCGTTATGAAATTGATTTAATCAATCTGTATGAAATTCACATAGCTTAGGATATATTTTTAAATATTTTGGCAGTAAGGAAGAAAAAACTTACATCCATTATTTGATTTTTGTTGGAAATCAGTTGAATGAAGTATGCATCGAATAATAGTCGTTCTCGTGAACCAACGAAATGTATCTATTGTGTATTGTGCAATATTGTAATGATTAAATGTATCACGGAGACGAAATAATGATCACGTAAAATAAAGGAACATTGTTCATTTAATCTATATAATGTATATACTCGTATATGCACAATCCACGCCATCCGGTCATCCGTGTGGTGACGAATTAAGAATACAGAGTGACACCACCCCTATTCATGCCGTGGGTGTCGTAAGAGGCGGCTAAGGGACTTCTCTCTGCAGTACAACAGCATTGCAGAGAGAAGGAAAACTTGACACAAACCCTAAACCAACCAAAAATGGCCAGCGTGGTATAGTAGGCCAAAAGCTCCTTTCTAATGAGAGGCCTATGTCCAGCAGTGGACTATTAAAGGCTGTTGATGATGATGATGATATATGTATATGCATAAGTAAAAAATAATAATAAAAGCCTTTATTCAGGTCAACTTAGCCTAATGACGTTGAGGCCTGTTAATACGTGAAGATATTTGTTGGTGCCCCTTGTTAAATACGACGCACGGAAGAATATCATATTTGGTATACTTCATGTTTGTATTACAGATGTAGAAGTGCATTATCCTCCAATTTATAAACAAAATGCGCAACAGCTACATTCCAGTTTATATATGTTGATCTGTCATAGTACTTCTGTACCATGACAGAAGTGAACACAGGAAAAGTTCAAGTTATACAAGTCATTAAAATAAAAGAAGATTCAAACGGTTGAAATTCGCCTGCACGCGATCTCTAGGAACAAATAATAAACACTAAATGTATATTTATGTGTATAATACGGCATAATTTTTTGTATGAACCGGCCATTGAACTGGTGTGTATTTTTTTACTTTTTTGACGTGCTAGGTTTCTTAGATCGTTCGATACAGTTATTTTTTCATTAAGAAAAATATCCTACATATATAATTTTTTTAACGTAATTGATTGATTATTATTAACTACTTAAAGTTATGACGAAAACATAAACTGACTATGGAATTTAATGTTATTGAAAATATTATTGATATTCGGTTATATTGCTTCGAAGCTTTGCAGAATATCACAAAATGGCTTACACACTAATAAATCGCAAAAATGTTCCCCAAATTTCAAGATAGTTTCGGGAACATGGAAAAATAATTTCTCAAGGTCAAATCAGTTTATTAATATGCACGTTTCAACCACTATGAATCAAATAATTAAGAATATGATGGATGTCCACTGACCTCCTACGGGCCATTGCACGAATGTTTTGTTGTTGTCAATATTATTCCTCTATAAAAACTTATCATCATCACGGCAGCCTTTAATAGGGTCCAAGGGTGAATAAAGGCGTCTCTTTGCAGTGCTGTTGTCCTTAGTCGGCTCTTACGACCCCCGCATGATGAATAGGGGTTGTGACTCTCCATATTCCTGATCCACAACTATAAAAAAGCATTCTAATCTTAGTGATGGTACCAGGGATTAGCGTGTTTATACAAACAGATAAAAGAAACGAACAGTCTTTACAGTAGTCGCCTATCACGTGTAACATGTGACATCTCACCTACCAACTGACAGCAGTAGCACCACGCGCGCTCATACGTCCAATCAAACAGCACGGTTCAACTTCCTGTTACACACTTCCGTCCCTTGACACGTCATCGCGTCTTTATTGTATTAGTAAGGTAATCGGGAAAAATTAAATTTCATTACAATGCCATGTTGTGTACGTTATGATTATCTTTCATTTTTTTTCTTTTTGATGATTACTTATCATCAAGACACCAACACTTCTGTAAAAAATTCAATTAGATGACCATGAAATTCATGTCCATGTGTGTTAAGAGAGTTCATAAATCATAACAACAGAGTTGTCAAAAATCACCGCGATTCGAAACAACCTGTTACTTTATGTGCTTAACAGTAGCTTTGATTTATGACTGCTGAGATCACTTGCAATGGTTCTGCTTTTTATAGTATTGTAGACGTGCCCGATACGGGATTTGTACCCGGACCTTGGTACGTACCTTCTCATTACTTTTATTCGACAGAAAATCACTGTAATAATTGCTTAGTGTCGTGGTCATGGCGATCATAAGAGAACTTGACGTTCTGTTTAATGTCAGGAGAACCGCTTCGTAGTTTACAATGTACTGACGCAAAAATAAAACTGGCGATGTGTCTTAATGTAAAACGTATTATGTACAAAAAGGCTACAGTTATGCCTATTGTTATTGTCGAGTGCGGGTAAGAGGCGTAGTGTGTGTCGGTGAGAGTGTTGACCTTGCGGCGCTTTCTCACTGCCAATGCACTTTAAATTGTTTCACCATTTTTGAGAAAGAATACATTTCAAAGATAATGAGATCATTACTACAATGTTTGTCGTTTCAAGCATCAATGTGGCGCAGGATGTTCACTGTTCTTTAATGGATACGTCTGTCGACGTCGCTAACGCCGACGTTACGTGGAAGCGATTGTGAACATGAGCTCGTCCGAAATGACAACACGGCGGCGGCTCGGTTTGTTTATAGTTGCAACTGGTTTGCTTGTAAACACGAGTGTCGGTGGTGCGCGGACGGTGGAGCAGTGCGCTCGGTGTCGCCGGACGGCTCGACACTCGCACAGGTGTGCTGATAACGCGTGATGTCACCGCGCGCACGGCGGCGGCGCCGGCGCGTCCTCTCGGCCCTCTCGCTACCGCCGCCAGTCGCCCGCGGCGCGCAATCGTGAGCGCTGTTTTTTTCGCCACAGTTTCCTTCGTTCCGCGCCCCTCACGCTTCAGCATAGCAGACCGGCTCGCCGTCTAGGTTGGAGCGCACAGCCTTCTCGGCGACTGTTTTATCGGTATCTCCGGTGCAGTGCAAGGTTTCGTGCATGGTGGTGAAGGCGTGGGTGCGCAAAATGAGCGAAGCCGGCGGCGGCGACGCCGAAGAGAGCTCCGGGCGGCGCTGGCCGGTGGGCATCCTGCGCAGGAGCGGCGCTCGCGCGGCGCGACGGGTGCTGCACGTCAAGTACTGCAGCGTGCCGCCCTCGCCCTCTCCTACGCCGCACGTGCTCCCTCTGGACATTGATGACACTGTCTCATGCTTCTGCAGGTCTGTTTTCACGTTATCTGCACTGCGACTGCACTAGGACTTACAGCGGATGTACTCCGGACAATTGTACACGAATTCGATTCAACTGATTATTGGTATTCTATATTTCCAAAAAGAAAACATAGCTGTGGCAGTAGTTTATTATATATGTACGTATAAACGGTGGTGGCTGGGACTCAAATAGTGCAAGCATCCGTGCGTGATGCTAGCGGGCGCCATATTTCTTTCTTATGTAAGTGATTAATGAACAAATGACTAACTATACTGGTTTCTAGTAGTTTGTTGTTCCGTGTATTGACGTGTTGAGATTGCTTCGACCTACTTCAGTCGACGGCACCGCCGTGAGAGGTGCTCGCTTATCGCTCTATCGCGTGTTATCACAACACCTGTTTGACGTCACACAGCGCGCGCCGCCACACTTTGTTGCTCAACTGATCTCATTTGATCATTTGGACAAGACATTTCATTAAGAAAGTTTTACTTAACATTTTTATTTCCGTTACAAGATTTTACGATTTAGGTTTTGTTGTTGCTAGAAGTCTATACAGTAACAGATTTTATTTATGTTATAAAAAACTATATCTAGATTTCGTAACATGCCAATGGTACGTGTACCAATTATGTATTTTGGTACTGGCGACACGTGACCCCACTTAGTAGCCAGTAAGATCACAACCTGCACAGTACCAATTGGTTGAAGTTTTTAAAGGTGGAGCCAGTCAGGTGCCTCCATATATGCATGGCTAATCTCTTTTACTAATCTGCCTGATGATATCTGTTAGAGCAACAGGATCTAATAAAGGTTAAGCGACGTTTAACTACTTCGTGATGCGACATTTTAGCCTAGTTCGTGATTCAGTCGTTTTAAAGCGGTACCTTTGATAACATCAGATTATAATATATACCAAAATTAACCTTCAGTACTATATATATAGGTATACCACTTATTCCAGATACAATAAAGTTATGGAGATCTATTATTATACATATAGTATATAAAAAATGTCCATCAGTGCGTAAACACCTTTCAAGTATATTCGGCAAGATCTGGTCGAGCAAAGAAATACCAACAACCTTGGGAAAGGCTAATTTTGTCCTCATTCCTAAGAAAAGTGAAGTAGTAGATTCCAGAGACACTAGACCGATAGCCCTTACCAATACAATTTCTAAAATATTTTTCTCCTGTCTTTAATTAAAAATACAGTTTATGTCCAACAATAATGACTTAAGACCAAATTAACAGAAAGGGTTAATGCCCGGAATCTCTGAATGTCTGGAACATAACTCATTATTTGCGGAGTATCAAAGGTGCTAGGAAAAATGAAAGGCAAATTACAGTCTGTTGAATAGATTTAGAGCGAGCTGATGTTATTTGCCTTGAAATATAACTTTCCGCCAATCATTTGTAGAATAATTGCAGTGTGATGCAATTATATATAGTAAATTAAAATTTGTAATCACAGCAAAAGAGGGACATGCAAAACCCCTCGAATACAGAGTAGGGTTGTTCCAAGGTTGCTGCTTATCACCAGTAGTATTTAATACAGTTATAAATATATTAATAGGTAATATCGCAACACACGAAAAGAGGTGGGGCTAAAGGTTTAAGCTCAATGGAAAATATACGGAATCCATCTTACCATTCACAGACGACCTCGCGATCCTCACGCGTAACCTGAAGCAGTGTCAAGAACTACTGCGTAAGGACGGAAGGAATGAGGATAAAACCTAGCAACTGCTATTGCCTTTGACTTGGCCGGCGAGTTTCAATAATATCAGAAACCGTGCCCTTTATTTAAAGTCTATCTTTCTTCCAAGGAATTTTCCTTGGAAGAAAGATAGACTACAAAGGTCGTACTCCATCTATGAACGCAATAGTCAATGACTTCGTAAAAGACATTGACAAGGTAGACCAACAGCCAATAAGTAACGTAAACTACTTAACATCACGTCTCAATTGGCCGTTTCTGGTATACGATATAAACCAGAACCACTTAAGAACACTGGACGCGAAAGTAATAAGACATTGAAGTCGTGTCTCGGGCTAGCAACATCTGCAGACCCGTTAACGTTGTACAGGGGCTCAAATTATTTTGCAATGAAATTAAAAAGACTCGGAACTCTACAAACATCTAAGAATTACCAAAATGCACGTCTTGTCAAAATCACAAGACGAAATCGTTAGATCCCTTCCAAAAAACTCATCAAAAAAAAAATTCATCAGAGCTCGAGTCACGTCTCCAATTCCACAAGAAATCAAAGTCCAGCAGAGTTGGATTGGGAAATGCTAGAAGACTACCTAGACCGCCAAAGACATAACAAAATCTTTCCTACAACAAGATAAAAACGCGACCTACAAGGTGCACGCAATTAACCTATAAATGCAGAATGATAACTCTAGGAGAATTTTGTATCTCACCAGCTTTGAAATGCGCTCACTTTTATACGATTGGTCATCTGCCCTGTTAAAATTTTACCTCAACGCCTTTCAAAAACTTGTAAGGTGGGGTAAAGCTATAGCAAAGGCTTGTACGATATGCAGTGTGGAAAAAGGGACAGCCAGGCACTTATTGGCAGGACGTAAGGTTCTGTTAGACCGGGGTTATTATTCACGTTGCCATGATAGGGTATTACAAAGCGAAAAAAGGAATAAAAACAAACATAAGAACTAACATCGCGTTTGTAAAGGAACGCTCAACAAAAAATACTTCACCGAAGCCGTAATCAATTATGAATACCGCCAGTGACTGGACATTATTGGTGGACACGTATGAAAATCATTACAGAATACCGGAGGATATCTGTGCTCGGCGTCCAGACCAGACGTATTTTTATATGCAATTTCAATTAAGCGTGTCCCTAAAGACCACGCTTTCAAAAGAAACAAGTACTTTGATTTAACCAACGAATTAACTAAAAATGGTTATGTCGTTGCGTTATATGCGGTGGAAGTGGGTGTGAGGGGTATACCAGCTAAATTCCTCTATAACCTGCTTAAAGTCCTTGGATTGCCAAGAGCTTCAGTAAGCTCTTTTCTTGAACGAATGTCCAAAGCGGCATTACTAGGCTCTTATCAAATAGGGTTAGGTAGAGGAGGGAGTACGCAAGGAGTACTCCCTAAACTTATACCTGGGTCGCAAGTCCTAGGCGCTGTCAAAGTCGCATTGTTGCCCCCATCTACCACGCGATGGACCCGGCACCCGCACGGTGAATCCATGGAACGCTAAGAAATAGGTCTCACTACCGCACTCGATAAATAATTAATTACAGCACAAAAATAAACTAAAATTTTGAAATATGGTATAAAGCATTAAAAAGATTTAATATTTTATAACGATCTATGATATAAAATATTAATATATCAATATATTCATTCTTGTTTTACTACTAACGCTGATATATTCAATGTGCGCGCATAGCCCACCCTTGAGTGAAACTGAGATAGGATCCGTTTTGGTTTCATGCGCAGTTATTAGTTCAGCTCAACGACGGTATGCTAGTAATAAGCAAATTGTTTAGGTATTGAAAACGACGCTGAGAAACAAGTGTACAATCATTATGTCTCCTATGACAGTCTCATATACAAAATTATCTTAGCCTTTGGTGGTATACAGTTACCGGTGTATAAGTATTCGCTACTGAAGCAATAGCACCCGAGGGTTTTGACATTATTGTCTTCTTTGGGCATGGGGGCTGGATAAGTCACCAGCAGAAACGCCATGAAACAATAGTCAAATGCAGAAAAGTAATAACAACAATCGATTAAGTTCTTCTTAATATTTTAATGTCAAACCATGAATTAAATATAAATGACTTGATGATAGCAAAGTATGACTTCTTAAGACGTTATTTGATATGAGTTTCTACAGAACAGATTGCTATTAAAGACTTATTAACCTGATTTGTCTTAACAGTCAACAGTCCCATATTGTTGATTTCCGTGTGAAGATTTAGAGTTTTTAAATAGGCCTACTGAAACATAATTATTTCGGTAGGGTTCAAAACAAACAAGTTACTTCTTAATAGAAAAACTTGTTTGTTTTGAACGTCTCTGCACGAAAGTGTTGAAGTAACAAAGAGCCATATGTGAATATGTTTGGGTGTTACAACACGTACCGATAAAGTGTTAAGTTCTTTTGTTCGAACAAAGTAACTCTTGAGCACCGGTGGCGTTGCTGATTAATGTTTTTGCTACAAGTTGTTATAACAATACGTGGCGTGAGCTCGCACCACCCTCTCCGGTGCTATCGACGCGACACAAACTTTCATCTAACAATCACAATTGTAATTGGCACAAAACTTCTTCGTCTATGAACTTGCAGTAGGAGAGCCCTAGAAGGGATTTACTCGAACGTGGACAGATTAACATAAGGAGGAACACCCAGTGGAGTACCTTCACCATACATGAGCTGAAATCAGACGATTTGAGCGTGACATTAAGCAGTGTGAGGGTGACAAAGTTAAAAAAAAAACACATGACCTTGTCATTTTTTTATTCTGAAGCAAACAATGCAAGAAATCTTTAAATGCCTACTAATTTTTCGTGTCTTTATTTGTCACAGTTTTAAAAAAATCTAAATATTTCTAACCGCCAAATTTGAAATAGCCTGCAAAATATAGTCAGATTTTTGGCTAGTATAAGAGGAACATCAAGCTTAACCGTCTGTATAAAATATAACACGCTTGGATATTTCGAATGGCTGTTTTTTAAATTAAAATCAGAGCTTTCATTGGGAGCATTTTTGGCGTCTAAATAACACATCTCCAAAATATCTGATGCGTCCAAATATATTCTTTTCGATTTCTTCGCCTTAAATTTTTGAAAACCTGTAGAAGCTTTTCCCATCGCTGAAAGTGGAAACATAATACAACTTTTATTCATTCCATTAAGTAATCCTCATGAAGCTCGAGTAAATCCCCATTTAGCATCATGGGCTATTGGCATAACCTAGCGGGGTCAAGTACGCTGGCTGTTATGTTCCTGCAGGACCAAGGACGGGACAGTCTTGTCGTACCGTGTATATAAATTTGATTTTA